CGTGCCTGACAGAGAGAATCCCCCCCAACCAGTGAACACAACCGACTATACCATCACCACCCCACAGATCCCAAAGAATGACCCTCTAACAAAGAGTTCGACGCTTTATCCACAAGGAGAACTTCCCTCGTCCCAATATCTTAAGCGACCTCCCCACAGAAGAAGAATGGATACCACCAGAACCATTCTATGTCCAGTAACACGGATAAGCCCTCCCCATCTCCGGGTGACCCACCTCTATCAACCAACACCTTACAACTGACCTCGTTACATCTACTACTACAATACAGCAGGACACCACCTCAGTCACAGCCTTGCTGGCCGACTCCAGGTGAGAAACCAACCTCCATCAAATGCCCAGCAACCTTCGCCTGCAGCTGCGCCTCCTGACCAACCTCTCGTGAAGAAAAAAAAAAAAAAAAAAAAAAGGTAACCAATTCTATACAGTATGCATCCTTCCAATTCAATGACGCAGTGGTATAACACAATATAGCATTGCGTAATTGATGGGCAGGAGGTATACCCTACACATATAACCAACCTCTTCATAAAACACTTAATATGCACACACGCATATTCAAACTACACCAAAGTGGATAGGCCACTACCCTTTTATATCCCCACCTACCCCTCCTCCCTCCCCAACCTTTCCCAAACTTCCATCCTTACCCATCCTTCTTCCCCCACTCCCCTCTTACCAAAGCTCTGGTCATTTGACATTGACATTGACTCTGTCCTCTACCTTTGAGGACGACTCTGATTCTTTGCACTCTATCTCTGAAATTAATGTTAAACTTACAAATTCTGTCCTCCTCAAGGATCCTAGTCCTTTAATGGAGGGACTATCTGAAACGCAAGCAACAAGTTTAACTGACCTTCTACAGTCATATCCTAATATTTTTTTCGGATGTGCCGAAAAAATGTACGTTAGGTTATCATGATGTAGATGTGGGAAACTCTAACCCTATTAAACTCTCCCCCTACAGAGCTAATCCTGAAAAGCAGAAGCTACTTCAGCAGGAAGTAGAATTTCTGTTAGAGCATGGTTTAGTGGAGGAGTCATCTAGTCCATGGGCTTCACCGTGCATCCTTGTTAAGAAGGCTGATGGAGGGTTTCGTATGTGTACAGACTACCGTAAGGTCAATGAGGTCACAATTACAGATGCTTACCCTCTTCCTCGTCTGGATGACGTAATTGACTTTGTGGGTAAGGCTACTTTTGTGTCCAAGTTAGATCTTAAAGGTTACTATCAGGTACCTTTGACAGATAAGGCAAAGGAAATTTCTGCCTTCGTAATTCCAGGAGATCATTATCAATACACAGTTACCCCCTTCGGAATGAAAAATTCCCCCTCTTCATTCCAGAAACTCGTCCATGAGGCTATTAAAGGACTTGAAGGCACGGCAGCGTACCTAGATGATATTGTTGTGGTGTCTGATACTTGGGATCAACACCTACTTAGACTTAAGGCTCTTTTTGAGACCTTTCAGAGTTCCCATTTAAGTTAATTTATCTAAATCTTCCTTTGGCCAGGCCACTGTCACTTTTCTAGGCCATGAAGTAGGTAGTGGTAAAGTTCCTCCTAAACTTGCTAAAGTTCTTGCTATTAAAGATTATCCAGGGCATACTCTACCGTTGAAAAAGAAGCCCTCGCGCTGGTACTGGCTTTGGAGCATTTCTATGTTTATGTGGGCCAGACATCGCAGGTGGTCACCGTCTACAGTGATCACAATCCTCTAGTATATCTCCAAACCATGAAGAACCACAACACAAGGCTCATGCGCTGGACGCTAAGGCTGCAGCCCTATAATATTACTATTGTACATATTGTCGGCAAAGAAAATATGTTGGCAGACTCTTTATCTAGAGTTTAATTATTTTTTTACTTAGGTTAGGATGTTAGGTTACTTGTGGTAACCCTTTCCACGCTCTTTTTTTTTTATCCCCTGGTGTGGTTTTCTTTTAGTGAGGGGATGCGGGCTATCGTCCGCCTATATCTTGGACCTATGCTAGCCCGACTGACTGCTGTCTCACTCTTGAGTTTAGAGTTTGGCTTTTTGTCACGAGAAAAGCTGAGCTCTATCTAAGAGCTGGATGGTGGAGAGGAAAGGCGGTCCCATTATTTTGTGCCATGGCGGCACGGTTACCACTGGGAGGTGGCAGCCTAATCCTGAGCCTTCTCAGGGTGGGGGTGTGGCATGCAAAGAGTATGTAACCTTTATTCGGCGCATGTACACACCCTCATTTACAGGCTATCTCCCCCAACCAGCGAATCAGGTTGCTGAGAGTTGATGATGGGGCCCCGTCTTTCAACTAGTGACCAGGTTCCAGCCAATAAGAAGATGGTCTTGGTAATCGCAGAGGTTATGTGGGTACCACTCTCCTGTCTGCCCTTGTCATTCCCAGTCTAGAGCTGGTTGAAGCACGGTCTGCTTTCTTGTGGCTTCTATTTCTGCCTTGCTTACCGTGGAGTGCACTATACTTATCACTGTACATAGTGTACATATTGCTGGTGAAGGATAATATAATTCAAAACTTTTCTGCTGTGTTTATTTTGCTCCCTTTACACCCAGGATAACAGGCCATTTGGACTCCTGGGTTGTAATACCCGACTAGGTGGGTCATTGGGCTAATCCAGGGGGAGGGGATGGACCTGCTTCACATGGGTCAGTAGGCCTGTTGCAGTGTTCCTTCTTCCTTATGTTTTTATGTACAACATCCACGCACATTCAAACATCTCACTTTGACAATTTTCTTCTTTATCTTTTTAGTAGGCTATATGGGAAAAGGGGTTACTAGCCCATTGTTCCCGGCATTTTAGTTGACTTTTATAACACACACATGGCTTACGGAGGAAAGATTCTTATTCCACTTCCCCATGGATATAAAAGAAAAAGCAGTAAGAACAAGTACTATTAAGATAAACTCAAAGAATGCTCAGATGAGTGTGTATACATAAACGTGTACATGAATGTGTAGTGTGACCTAAGTGTAAGTAGAAGTAGCAAGACATACCTGAAATCTTGCATGTTTATGAGACAGAAAAAAACACTAGCAATCCTACCATCACATAAAACAATTGCAGGCTTTCATTTTTTCTTTTTTTTATTCGCCTGTATTCTCCCGGCCCGGGTCTTTTCCAAGTAGAGGTGACCCGGCCTTGGCTCCCTATCTGGGGAGTATCTCGAGACCTAAGTCTCCCATGGGAGGAGGTACAAGTACCCCCTCATCTTTGGGACCAACTGTCCCCAGGCCTAGCCACAGTCCCTGTCCTCACGGGACCCGTAGGGAGAAGCTAGGCCTCTGGTCTATCATCTGCCCCGCCCCAAAGGGGCTTGTGGGGATGGCAGTCTTATGAGCTGCAGGTGGTAGCAAGCTAAGGCCTTTTTTTTATAGGCTTTCATTTTACACTCACTTGGCAGGACGGTAGTACCTCCCTGGGTGGTTGTTGTCTACCAACCTACTACAAGTATACTCAACAAACTTCTTCTTTCTTTCAACACACCAGCCATATCCCACTGAGGTGGGGTGGCCCAAAAGGAAAAATGGGAATTTTGCCTTTTAAATTTGGTAATGTATACAGGAGAAGGGGTTACTAGCCCCTTGCTCCCGGCATTTTAGTCGCCTCTTACGACACGCATGGCTTACGGAGGAAGAATTCTATTCCACTTCCCCATGGAGATAAGAGGAAATAGACAAGAACAAGAACTAGAAAGAAAATAGAAGAAAACCCAGAGGGGTATGTATATATCTTCTTTCAACACACCGGCCGTATCCCACCGAGGCGGGGTGGCCCAAAAGGAAAAACGAAAGTTTCTCCTTTTACATTTAGTAATATATACAGGAGAAGGGGTTACTAGCCCCTTGCTCCCGGCATTTTAGTTGCCTCTTACACACGCATGGCTTACGGAGGAAGAATTCTGTTCCACTTCCCCATGGAGATAAGAGGAAATAAACAAGAATAAGAACTAGAAAGAAAATAGAAGAAAACCCAGAGGGGTGTGTATATATGTGCTTGTACTATGTATGTGTAGTGTGACCTAAGTGTAAGTAGAAGTAGCAAGACGTACATGAAATCTTGCATGTTTATGAAACAGAAAAAAGGACACCAGCAATCCTACCATCATGTAAAACAACTACAGGCTTTCATTTTACACTCACTTGGCAGGACGGTAGTACCTCCCTGGGTGGTTGTTGTCTACCAACCTACTACAAGTATACTCAACAAACTTATTCCCCTAAAATTCTTACTCTCTCTTTTGTCCCCATTGTCTTTATACAAAGGAAGGATGCATGTTTTCTGCCAGTCCCCAAGTACTGTCCCCTCTGTCATACATTTACTGAACAAAAGTATTATCCATTCCAAAACAATTAGATATACTGAAAAAAAAACTGAAAATAAATAAGATTTTGAATACAGTTTACAAAGTGGGTTATATTGGGGCCTTTATACTGTGGGTTTACTGTAGAGCATTTATAAAATTCATAACTGTTACTGAAGCAAAGAATCTGAATATGTACAGTACTGGTTAATTTGACAAGCAAAATGATGATTCAAAAAAGTAAATTTAGTCTTATTTTACAAGACCTGACTTACGTCAGCAATGTGATCACAAGACCTGACTTAACTCGGCAATGTGATTACAAGACCTGACTTACCTCAGCAATATGATCACAAGACCTGACTTACCTCAGCAATGTGATTACAAGACTGACTTAACTCAGCAATGTGAGTACAAGACCTGACTTACCTCAGCACTGTGATTGCAAGACCTGACTTCCCTCAGCAATGTGATTACAAGACCTGACTTATCTCATCAATGTGATTACAAGACCTGACTTAACTCAGCAATGTGATTACAAGACCTGACTTAACTCAGCAATGTGATTACAAGACCTGACTTAACTCAGCAATGTGATTACAAGACCTGACTTACCTCAGCAATATGATTACAAGACCTGACTTACCTCAGCAATGTGATTACAAGACCTGACTTACCTCAGCAGTGTGATTACAACCTGGTACAGTTTTTTTCACTTTTACTGCACAGTTGCCACATTCTTGATAACACACTTTCTTACATGGATGACCACACATGAGTGTTTTAATGCAGGATTTATGGCACTTGATATCTTCAACACGCTCAGAACAATCAACCTTATTGACCACATGAGTACATGGTAATATTTTCTTCACTTTTACTGTGCAAGATCCACACTCTTCATAACATTTTTTTATGCATGTATGGTTTTGTGAACACCCTGCATTCAATCTTGTACAATTTTCTAAACAATTGTAAAGAATGTGGTCTGGGTCTGATGTACGGTGACAATTTAGTCGACATTTGTGACCACAGTCCAGTCTAGTATCACAGTCCATGGGGCAAGGAAATACTTTTGGATCATAATGGCAAGGCATCTTAACCTTGTGTTGACAGAGAGGCTTTTCTTTAATTACTTCAGTTGGACACTTGTAGCTACTTGGGTCAACATGGCAAGGAATTCTGTGAATATGACTACAAGGTAACACCTTTGCAACAGGAACTTCACATGGTGTACACTTTTCCCAACATTTCTTTGGACACTGATGGTCCAACTCACAAAGAATCTTGGGACAAGGAACTCTACACTTATACATTTCATGCTGTAAATCATCCATGTGACAAATCTTGGGACAAGAATGCTTGCAGTGTGGAAGAGAACCACCGCATATTTGACGACATCCTCCCTCAGGACTTTTGTTGACAAAGTCTTCACCTGATGATATTGATGTTAATTGATCAGGATGATTTTCACACCTAAGAGTTAAGGAATTGCCAATGGAGCTCTCTTCTTTAAGATCATTTTTAATCTTCTTCCAGAGTTCACTTGAGGTACAAAGAAGGTCCATATTTCCAGTGATGTACAGCCCATGCTTGGCACGTGAGAGGGCGACACAAATTCTGTTATCAGTACGAAGGAAGCCAACATTTCCTTCCAAATTACTGCGAACTAAAGATAAGAGGATAATATTGTTTTCCTCTCCCTGAAAGTTGTCCACTACACAGATCCTCACACCTTGACATGCCTGGTGATTTCGCTGAAGCTGTTGAAAAATAAAATAATTTTAATATTGTATAAAATAAAGAATTGTGAATAATTCTAACTTCTGTATAATTCATAAAACTTATATAATGGAACAAGTTCATCATATGAATACTACAATAAGTTTCACTAAAAAAAATATCCTTATACACTAAATCCTGTTACAATATGACTTCACATTGTGATATTATTGTAATACAATTAAATAAGTGCAACCAAAAATTCTGATGGCTCATAAAAATTGTGATGGTGTGCAGCTTAAAGAATACACGAGCTAACATGCAAAACACTGGTGCTAGCCTAGCCACAGCAGGTTTCCTGCTATCAAATTACACACAATATCTGACTACTGTGCTACACTCCATGCAATATTTTCCCTCCAACCCAAGTTGGAGGGTTGGGAGAAGGGGTGAGTACATGCGCTTCTTCCCTACTCTACTAAGACATATCTCATCCCTGAATATTAATCATATCACCCAAGATGAATACCAGTGATGATGGAGTGTCAACAAAAGAAGCAAGAATATGATCAGAGTTAAAAAAGTTTAAGTTTTTTCTTCAAGTTGATGCAGTGTGATAGAGACTCACTCTGCTTGTGCTGTGAGAGAGAACCAAACATTCTTATAATTACAAAGAGAAGAAAATAAGAGCTTGTGTAATAAGAAGTACAGACTGTAACATGCTGAGAGAAATATCAAAGAATTCAATACAACTAAATAAAACACAGAAGTTATTAAATGTGTGAATGGAGGAGAAGAGAGTGAAAGAGACCCCACTTAGTGAAGAGGTACAAAGCTTCTCCTGCTACACAACTGTGTGTCACAAGGAAGGAAACTTCAGTGGTGCATGTTTAGTGATGGAGGGTTTGAAAGCTTCAAAAATGCATTTAGCTTGAAAACATGTTGAGTGGTGAGTGAACCAGCTGCTCACACAGCCATGAGTTGTTACTTGTGCTTTCTTTCCAGAAACCATTTCTGGGAATGATCAGTCCATAGCAAGCTTTTATAAGTGATAAGACAACACTACATTAGATGCATAGGTTAAAAGCTTACAGAAGAAAGCAAGAAAGCTTTGCTCTTGGTTTCATTGTAGATAAGGATCGTTTTATCTTGTCTGTGTGCAAATGCAATATGCAATTTCATGTGCAAGCCTATGCTTATTTATCAAGTGAGGATGTGGTAAAAACAAGCACACACTGCAAGATTGGAGGATGACTGCAGGAATTATCAGGAATGAAAGAACTTTATATGCAAGGTTCACTGTGGCACTGTACATCTTGACTGCTGGAATAAAATAATGGCTAAACCACTCAACACGTGAAGCCTCAGTCATCTGTGTTATCATGTTAGATCACCAGATAAGAGGCCAGCTAGCCTCTTATCTGGTGATCTAACATGGTAACATAGATGATTGAGGTACCCAATGGCATGCCTCATTTGCTGAATGGTTCGGCCATTATTTTATTCCAGCAGTCAAATCTTGTACACTGCCAGAAGGAACCATGCATACAAAGTTCTCCTCATTCCTGCAGTCATCCTCCAGTCTTGCAGTGTGTGCTTGTGTTTTACCACATCCACACGTTCAAACATCCCAACTATATAAAGTTTTTCTTCTTTTTACATTTAGTAACTAATACAGGAGAAGGGGTTGCTAACCCTTTGCTCCTAGCATTTTAGTCACCTTTTATGACACACATGGCTTAAGAGGAAGGAGTCTTCTCCACTTTCCCATAGAGATAAAATGAAATAAATTAAGGACAAGAACTATGTTCGTGAATTTACAGTGATTATGTGTGAGTGAGGTGAAAGTGTTGAATGATGATGGAAGTATTTTCTTTTTGGAGATTTTCTTTCTTTTTGAGTCACCCTGCCTCGGTGGGAGATGGCCAACTTGTTAAAAAAAAAAAAGAACTCTGTTAAGAAAATAAAATAAAACTCAGATGGGTGTTTATACACGGGTATACATGCAAGTGTAATGTGACCTTAGTGTAAGAAGAAGTAGCAAGATGTACCTGTTATCTTATATGACTATAAGAGAGAAAGAAAAGACACCAGCAATTTAACCTAACTAAACCTGACCTGACTTAATCTAATTTAGATAACATGAATCAAGAGCTTTTCTGAAAACTGTATACAGGAGGGCCCCGCTTTACGCCGTTTCACTTTACGGCGTTCCGCTAATACGGTCATTTCAAATTATGACCAAAACTCGCTATACGGCTCCCCCCACCTGACTTTCTAATACGGTCACCGTGCCCCACCCTGTTTGTTTACATTCTTCGTGAGCTCAGTAAGCACTAAGTCTCTCCATTTTGTCTGGAAACTCCAAAATTTCAAATGTTTTTAAAAGTTATTTCATATTTTATATATACTCTGATAATTATACTTATGTATACCTGTACCTAAATAAACTTACATACTGTGCTGGCATGCAGGTACACATTAAAATCGGTAAGTGTCTTATGTTTCCAGACGTCATATTAGTAATGATAATAATAATCATCGAGTCATTTAAATGTCGTATATTACGTTAATATACACATTTTCATTAATCCATCCATGATATTTTTTTCAAAATTATATAAACACGATACATAACATAAAAAGATGATAAATACACCCCACAATAGAATAAATAAACATAAATATAAGATGTGGGAGCCAGATAACTTGTACAAGTGACGGCAAGAATAACATTTTCTCTAATCTAACATAAGAGAAAATGTGTTACTGGGGGTAACTGTAGAAAATTATTCCTTTCGTATGTATGTAAGTAAGTTTATTCAGGTATACACAAATACAGTTACATAGATTATCATACATAACAACATATGTGTAGAGAACCTAGGATAACCCAAAAAAGTCAGTGTGACTTATTTCCATTGCCTTCACTCAGAGCTTCATTTCTTCTCAAAATGATGTTACATGAGAATGGGAGCGTTCTTCTTTATTAATTATACCGTATCAATGTAGAGACAACCTGTACACAATGTAACTTGTACACAAACCAGACGTGTACACTTCGTTTGTTTACAAAACTTACGTTCGCCTGGTTTGTTTACATAACTCTGCGCCTGTCCCCTCTCATGTACTCATTCTTTCTCTCTCTCATTTATTCGTTTTATCTCATTTACTTACTCCTGACCCTACATTAAGACTACAAATATTTTAAGGTAAGTAATGAGTGAACTGTATATACATTTTATCGCTCTGGGATGCTTAAATATCATAGAATAGTATGTGTGGGTGGGGTGGCCTGGTAAGGTAGCCTGGCTGATTACCATACATACCACACTTGATTTCTTACAATAAATACTTGTCTCACCCTAGATTAAGACTATAAATATTTTAAGGTAAGTAATGAGTGCACTATGTGTGTATTGTACTTTTTTATTGTTTTTTGATGCCTGGTTCTATTGCTAACTTAAAATATGTTAGTGTAAACTTGTTATCTAGTGTTTGTATGCATTTATAAGTGGAAAAAAAGGGTGTTCCACTTTACGGCGGTTTCCGCTTTACGGCGGTAGCCTGGAACCTAACCTGCCATATAAGTGGGGCCCTGCTGTATAAGAAATCCACACAGGATATGGCAGATGGGTTGAATTAACCCTTTCAGGGTAGAGACCCCCGATCTAAAACTTATTCTCAGGGTCAAAGAATTTTCAAAACCAAAAAAAATTATTTTATCTTATCAAATGAAGAGAATGTTTTTCTGAAGGCAGTGAACTAAAAGTATGAAATCTGATGGAAAACTTACTGAATTATGCTCTCACAAAGTTAGTGGTCTCAGCGATATTTATGCATTGATGATTTCACCCACTCTGCAGCCTATTTTTGGCCAATTCCATTGTTCCATTTTACAAACTTATAGGTATTTCACTAGCATTCCTTCTATTCTATCAAGTACAAAAAACTGCCCATTTACCTATTTCAGCTATTCAATAAAGTGATCAGAAATTGGTAATTTGGCCAATTTCACACACAATTCAAAGAAATGCCAATTTAAAAATATGGTTCAAAATATAGACATTCCTGGCACTAAAAAAATTTCTTCTGTTTCTTGGTGACATCTCCAGGTCCCATTTACATTATACTTGCTTTTCATTTTGAACTTTTACTCACACAAAAAATAGAAGATTTACTGTTATGCAGACTACTGCATTATTATAATAATTGTATAAATAACGTCAGCACATTCCTAAACGCATTTTAGACTGGTCAGTTAGACACGTGTTGGACAAGTGACGGCATTTGTGTACTCTGGAATATCAGCAAAAATCAAACATTTTTGCTACTTTGAGCTGCTACTTACAGTCCTGAAACCAATCAAAATCATCTCTATTTCTGTAATATATCTTCTATTCTATCAAATGAGACTAAGAAACCAAGAATACAACCATAAAACCATATGAAAATACACTGCAAAATCACTGTTTTAAATCAAAAACAGTTGCAGTTTCTTCTCATTATGCACTGCTTGTTGAAGGATTTTTTTATCTGAGTGAGTTGAGCTCATGGCATAGTACTACAGGACCAACACTGGCTTCAAAGTCATTATATAATGGGACCAACGCTTAATGTGTTACAAACAGTAATAATTACACTTTATAAATTTTAGCTCTTCAAAAATTAAAGCTTCCTTTAAAACATATTACCAATGAATAATTCAACCCCAAACACTCTGGTAAGTAAAAAATGTAAAAAATCTCAATCAATATTCATGAAAATTATGTACAGCACAGTGGACCCTCGGTTTTCGTATTTAATCCGTTCCAGAGCCATCGGCCAAAACTGGAATTGGCCAAAACCGGAACCATTTTCCCCATAAGAAATAATGTAAATGGAATTAATCCATTTCAGACACCCAGAAGTACCAACAAAAAAATGAACATTCAACATGATAGTTACCTTTATTGAAGGCTGTTGGTGATAGATGGAAGACAGGGAAGAGGAGAGAGGGAAGAGAGGATATTGCTTTGAAGGAGAATCCCCCTCCATAAGG